CCAAAAAGCTAACCCAACCTCTTCTACCCCTAACCCTGTAACTTTAACCCTAACCCTAATGCCCCTTAACACTAACCCACCCTTATCCCTAATCCTCATATCATAACCCTAACACTAACCACCTAACCCTAACCCCCGTAAAGCTAACCCCCTACCCTATAACCCTATCCCCTAACTTCTCTAAGCCAAATCCCTCACTGAACCCTAACTCTAAAAAGCTCTGTGCCATTTTGGCCTAGGGTTACAGTTCCAGTCCTGAGTCTTTTCTGAAGGACTGATAGATTAGTAGCTCTAACCCTCTAACCCCAATGGCTTGTTTAAAATAAAATACTTTTCATTTGCATTGATCTGGTGTTTTGAGGTATGTTGGATCCAAGTAGACCTCATAACACAAAGGCTTTACCACATTAAGTACATTCATAAGGTTTCTCTCTACTATGTACTCTTTTCTACATTTGGAGGTAACTGTGAAGGACAAAGGCTTTACAACATTGCTTTCATCCATCAGGCTTCTCTCCAGTGTGATTTCTTTCATGGTTTGTTTGTTTGTTTTCTTTTTTTGTCTGAATTAGGGTTTTATTGCTGTGAAAAGATACCATGACTAAGGTAACTCTTATAAAAGACAGCATTTAATGGAGATTGGAGATGCCCTACAGATTCAAAGGTTCAGTCCATTCTCATCACCGAGGGAAGCACGGCAGTGTCCAGTGCTGGAAGAGCTGAAAAGCCTATCACCACAGTGACACAATTCCTCAAACAAGGCCACATATTCTAATAGTGCCACTTTCCCTTGGGCCAAGCATATTCAAACCACCATGTTTGAAAGTTATTGTGACTTGAAAAGGCTTTACCACATACATATGGTTTCTCTCCTTATATGTTCTTTTATGTATTTTGAGATTACTTGGTTGTGAAAAGGCTTTACCACATTGATTACATTCATAGGGTTTCTCTCCAGTATGCATTGTTTATGGTTTTGAAGATTACTATGACATACAAAAGCTTTACTGCATTGATTACACTTATAGGGTTTCTCTCCAGTATGTGTTATGTATTTGAAGATAATTATGATATGCAAAGGTTTCACCACATTGATCACATTCATAGGGTTTCTCTCCAGTATGTGTTCTTTTATAGTTTTGAAGACTACGGTGATATGCAAAGGCTTTATCACACTGATCACATTCATAAGGTTTCACTCCAGTATGCATTCTTTCATGGTTTTGAAGACTAATGTAACATGCAAAGGCTTTACCACACTGAATACATTCATAGGGCTTCTCTCCAGTATGTGTTTTAACATGACTTTGAAGTCCACAATGATATGCAAAAGCTTTACCACACTGATTACATTCATAAGGTTTCTCTCCAGTATGCATTCTTTTATGTCTTTGGAGATGACTGGAACATACAAAGGCTTTACCACACTGATTACATTCATAGGGTTTCTCTCCAGTATGTGTTCTTTTATGGATTTGGAGATGACTGTGTCGTGCAAAGGCTTTATCACATCGATTACATTTGTAAGGTTTCTCTCCAGTATGAATTCTTTCATGCCTTCGAAGCTGACCATAGCATGCAAAGGCTTTACCACACTGATTACATTCATACGGTTTCTCTCCAGTATGTGTTCTTTTATGTATTTGGAGATAACTGTGATGGGAATAGGCTTTATCGCACTGATTACACTTGTAAGGTTTCTCTCCAGTATGTGTTCTTTTATGGATTTGAAGATAACAGTGATATACAAAGGTTTTACCACATTGATTACACTCATAGGGCTTCTCTCCAGTATGTGTTTTTTTATGAATTTGGAGATGACTATATTGTGAATAGGCTTTATCACATCGATTACATTTGTAGGGTTTCTCTTCAGTATGAATTCTTTCAAGCTTTTGAGGATAACTGTGATGGGCAAAGGCTTTACCACATTGAGTATATTCAGAGGGTTTCTCTCCAGTAAGACTTCTTTCATGCCTGCAAAGATAATTGGCACATGTCAAAGCTTTACCACATTCATTATACCATTCAATATGTTTATCTGTGGGAATTAATTTTATAATCTGGACTAGTTGTAAAGAGGAATGAGATCTTAAGGTCTTATCAGTTGGTTTACAATCGTGATTCTCCTTCAGTATGGCTTGCTTTACTTCTTTGAAGATGCTTATAATGCTGACAGTGTTTATTACATGGCTCACATTTATACAGTCCTTTTCCTTTTTGAATTTTTCACAAATACAAAGAACTCACAGCTTTACCACACTGAGTGCATTTATAAATTTTCCTATCATGTGAAATATGCTGCATTTGCATACAGAGTTTGCAATGGGAACCAGGACAAACAGAGAAAATTTTCCCCATTCCTACTGCAGTGTGAGTTTGTGGATATATTCCCAATGAAGTTGGAAAACTAATTAATTATAAACTTGGATCACACTGAAAAAGTCTATTTCAAATGGGGGAATATCTTCTAATTGTTCTGGGAGAGACAGAGAGGTACACTGCTTCTTTCAGTATCCCTATGATCACAAGGCTTGTATCCATTGTGACACATGATATATCTATTAAAAGAAGAATGGGAAAGGAAAGATTTCCACATTGCATTCACAGTTTGCCCTTTTGTTCATCAAAGACATGTGATACAGGGATTAAAGTTTTTCTTCAACAACATTCTTGATTCTCATAAACTGCCTCTCTCACTAACCTTAGCGATGTTACTACAGGTTTGTGAGCAACACCAGCTTTACTATGGAATACTTGCTAATTAGATTTTGGACATATACACCTATTCAATGTATATATCTTATGCAATATAGGAGTGGCATGAATCTAAATAGATTGGCAGTTCTACAGAGTAGCTCCAAGAAAGTAGGTGCAAACGGTAATGTCTGTTAAGGGATTGTTTCCTAGTCTTCTTTCTTAGAGGAGTGCCTTGCAAACACAAATCAGACACATGTCACCGAGGTTCATCGATCCTTGTGAACTTAATAATCATCAATATAGTTAAAAAGGTGCTTTTATTACACTGTTGTTTTTCTTTAAAATGCCCAGGACACATTAAAATTTCTTTAGTGGCATGCTCATACCAACTTGCACATGAAAATTACCTTGCATGTCTTCTAGAACTTTGACAATGTTCTTCAATATTATGGTCTTTCCAGTCGTAGCCTAAAATATAGTACCAGAAAATGTATGATTACTGGAAATTAGGCAAAATTTAAGTCACTATCTTCAGTGAACCTGATTTATTCACCTCAATCCTCATTCTCAATTGAAGTTACAGAAGAGCATCAGTAACAAAGAAACATTTGTTCCTTTATTTTAAAAAGTAAAAGAAAATTCACTGTCTTACCTATAGCAGTGAGGTTCCTGTAGGTTTCCAGCATCACATCTCTGTAGAGACTCTTCTGTGAAGGATCCAGCAAAGCCCATTCTTCTTGAGTGAAGTTCACATGCACATCATCATAGGTCACTGCATTCTAAAATATCCCACACATGTGTATGAAAGAAATCATGATACAGATAATCGTGTAAATTTATACTTTATTGACAATATATATAATTCTAGTGGTTCCTCCACTTATTTCCTGACCCAGAAGCTCTAATGTAATCACTAAGTGATCTTAGAAGTAAACTGAATAATGAGGTTCACCTCTGTCATTTCTTTGCTCTTTGAATAAGATACAGCCTTACAGGAGAAATGCCAATTAACACAGAAGGGAGAAGGGAGGAAGAGGGAGGGAAGGAGGGAGAAGGAGAGAAAAAGAGAGAGACCACGACAAGTAAACAGTACTGAGCACGCATCAGAGAAATTGTATGAACAGTTACTAACTACAAAAAATGATGGACAAACTGGATGAATTGACTCATGCCTTCCTTTAATTCAGGAAGCAGTCAGGTGTATCTCACTGAATTACATGCCAGCCTGGTCTATCCAGGACAGACAGAGATATATATTAAGACTCTGTCTCCCCTGTAAAAATCAATCAAGCAAGA